GTTAGTGGATCTGACGCTCAACCAATGGTGTTAATGTGGAGAGCTGCTTTTGAACTGCCAACTTTTCGATCAGTGGACGCTACCAACTGAGCTATTGTCCCTAATAAAGTGTTTCATTATCCAAGAATCAGGAAGAGTGTGTTAGCTTGCTAGTTTTTGGTACCTTTACTGTCATGGCAAAACTCTTCACTGCTTTTGTTGAAGGGAACCCAAACAACAATAGTGCTGTACTTCAAACTGTCTACGTTATGTGATTTTCAATAGACTCACATGTTCAGCCTGTGAATGTCACTGCTTCACACAATCGTGGCGATTTGCTCAGTGCTCAACCAAATGTTCTATGCATGAGAAGAGAAGCTTTGTGTGTCCTCTGAACATGTGGAGCTGCTGTGTGCCTTATGTCTTACCTGCATTAAGCCGCCGGTGTTTTCTGTGTGGGCAGATGAAAGAAAATGGGAGACTCATACCAAAAAGGTCTAAATGTGGAGAATCATGGTGATTGTAAAAGACGGGCTTTACCAGATGGTCACTCAGCACACCTCTTTCTCCTCATGCCAAGCTCTGTACGGCTTCATCAACGCCCCCTACTGAACTATTTCATGTATTGCCTTGACATTGTCCCTCAACCACATGTGTCTAGGTGAATAATGATGTTTTATGGAGTTGGTCCAGTTTCCCAACTTTTGATACAAAATCATTTAAAGGTGCACCATGTCTTTTTTCTCGAGGAGGATCTGTCACCTGTGCAGTCGTTTATTTGTCTTGAATATTTCACTGTATGTGTGTTGTGTGTGTGTGTGTGTGTGTGTGTGTGTGTGTGTGTGTGTGTGTGTGTGTGTGTGTGTGCGTGCGTGCGTGTGTGTGTGTGTGAGTGATGGTGGTGGTCGGCAGGACCAATGGCGCAGATTGGCAGCCTCGTTTCCGTCAGTCTGCCCCAGGGCAGCTGTAGCTACAGTAGTAGTTTACCACCACCGGGTCTGGAGTGAATGAATAATGATCTGTAAAGCGTCTTTGAGTGTCCAAAAAAGCGCTTTATAAAACTGATGCATTATTATTATTATTATTATTCACGACCCAAGTCAATAGGCATTATTGATAAATCACAAAATGAAGGTGATTTCTGAACATTCATGAGGATATTTTATTGTTGACTGAGTAATCGTGTCTCTGAACAATTAATATGACTTAAGTTTTACACAATGAAAAACTGAAGCAGAAATAAAAAGGGAGAAGTCAACTATTTGGACATTAAATGTAGAACATTTCTTTTCCTTTTCAGCATTCACTTGAACCAGCACTATTGGAACAAAATAGTCAACAGTATAATTAGCAAACTATTCGAAATTATACAGAAGATGTCTCAACATTTGAATATTTTTAGTGAGATAGTTTGGCCTGTGTGTGTTTTTGTAGTGTGTTCAGTCCGGCTGCAGGAGGAGACGCAGCAGCAGATCAGGAGAACAGGCTCAACTCTATATCACAGACCGACATGCAGATCATGACAAGGTGACCCAAAAAAATCTCCTGCGACCCACCTGAGGGTCACTACCCAGTCTTTGGGAGACAATGTAATAGATGTACTGAATAATATTCACTTCATATACACTTCATTGCATAAAAAATTTAAACAAAAATCAAAATGCCAGACCATGTTCGCTGTGGCTGTAGTCGTGAATGTTTTAATCTAAACCTACAGAGAACCTGATATTTGTTAATTAGCCCTGGGATAATGTTACGTCGGATGTTCGCCAACTGGCTCCACTATGTTTTCTAACATATAGGTGCAATTTCCCGTTCAAAGGAGGTGTTTCTACACAATATTATACAGCAGCGTTCAGTTCCCGAATTCAAGACATTTTTACAATAGATTTTAATGAACCCACTTGTTGTTCTGTTGTAGCTTCTTGTGCTTTTACTCTGTTTTTACTCTGCTACAAACTTGAGCTGCACAGTCTTGATCTTGATCGATGTTTCTTCTGCTCGATGAATAATGTCTGTGAAATGATGACGTATTTTTGACAGTAAAGTTCCGTCTGTGAATTCGTATTCGTACTGATGAAAGCGTAATCATAAATTTTCATTTCGTGATTGTAATTCATGACGTCGTAATTTTTCAATTCATATTCTGATGGATAAAATACACACAATATATTTTATGTACGACTGGACTCATTTGAGAGTTTACAAATATTTATTTTATGCGCAACTACAGCCAAATATGCACGGATTTCCCAAATACGCACAGATTTCTATTTTATGCTCACGAATATTTTTGACAGCTTTCTTATTCCATATATTAGTGAGTAAACCTTACAACTGTAATGAAATAAATGCTACAGGTTTGAATCTAATCCAGGCGTCACTCAGAGGCTCGGTGTATTTATGACAGAGCTCGATGGAGGATTTATGCAGGTCGATGTAAACAAAAACTTTTTTGAAAACGACGCTGTGTGCATGATGTTATTTTAGAAAACGGAGGGAGGGAAATATTCGTTTCTCAACATACCCGGCTCTGTGTAAACATAGTCTTAGTGTGAATGAATAAAGGCTTCTCTGATCAAGCATTTTGTGTCCAATAGATGTAGAGAAGTCACATTTTATAATTTGTTTGGAATTTCAGAAAACGCATAAAAATAATAAGATTAGAAGGTCAATTTTTAAGTAGTGTAATCTTCACTTCCCTCCACAACTGAAGCTTTTGTTAAACATGATTGCCCGGTCTCGTGACACTCGTCTTCTGACAATATGAAATCCTACCCTTGTATACTTTTGGCACGTCAGCGCATAGTTACCAACCTCCCATTCACTCACAATACAAAGCCTGCTTATGTTACCCCATGCCATACTATTAACTACATACCTCGACTTAAACTGGACCAAGGATTTTTACATTTTCTAACATTTCTTGGATGTTAAAATGGAAGTCGAGTACAGAAGGCCAATGATCGCTTTGGAAAGAGAACTGGAAGTGCTTAACCAAAAAGCAGAGCACGATCGAAGGCAAAAATTACAACTTATAGACAAACAATTCAGATTTTCCTACAAAACGCTGCAACAAAGGAAAGAGTTTTGGAGAAGGGAGCAGAGAAAACTTGGCACGGTGAAGATTTGTGAACCAAAAGCTATCGTGGATATCGCAATGAAAGAAATAGATGAGTTCAGCAACTGCAGAGGGGTTCGCACTGCTTACGGGACGAGACAAAACATAAAACTTGGAGTTGAAGATAAGCAAAGTCGATCCATTTCTGCCCCAGTGAGACAAAGGAGCCACGTTCAAAGCGGCGTTTCACTTTTACAGATGAAGAACATTGCGTTAATTGATTCGATTTCAGAAAAGGAGAGGATTTTAAGGCAGCAGAAAGCCAGAGAGGAGATGGAGAAGGCGAGGAGAGCCCAGATGGAGGCGCTAGAGAGGCGAGTGCAAGAGTTTATCGACAGACTGAAGGAGAAAAGTAAAACGGATTCATTAGAAGAACCTCCTTAGGAACAATATGGGCTCTGTTCACGCTGACGTCACAAAACCTGAAGACGTTTGGAAACATGTGGATGGCGACTTCCTTTGGGCTCTGTTGGCGACAGGAACTTTGAGAAAATCTGGGTTTTCTTCATCTAGATGTCATTGTATTCTTTCTTTTTTTTTACTTTTAGAAAACCAACCCAAACTAGGGATGTCCCCGTTTTTTATTTGGAAAATCTGGTCACCCTGGACTCGTGTTTGCATTACCCAAACTCGAGCAGAAGCTGAAAACACTCTGCTTATGTTTTATCTTTGAAAATATGTCATTCTACTTTTTATTGTTGAAGGCAATATGACCTTATAATGTAAATAATATACAATGTGTAGATAAAGTTTGCACATGTGTGAGTAAAAGTAAAAGAAAAGAGTTGGGATGTGATGATATCCAGATCTCACGGTGTAATATTTTCACAATATACATCTCACAGTATGAAATTTATTGCGATATTTTGTGGAGGCTGACAAAATTGTGAATATGCTACTTTTTCCTCTTAAAATGCTTTGACAAGACTTAATCCAAAGAACTAAGACTTAAAAGTGTTAGAGCTGTTATTTCTTCATTGACGTCATTGTAGTATTCCGTTATGTTCGGCAGATGAACAGTTTCGACCAGCTGTCTGTAAGTGACATGAAAACACAATTTTGCGAAAAGCTTTATCAGGTTGTGAAGATGCTGCTGCTGAATCCACCGTTTTATCACAAGCCCAGTGTCAGGAACTACACCAGAAGTCGTCATCCACGTGTTTCCAAACGTCTTCTGATAAGCGAGAATAGAGCCTATTAACCAACCAAGTGAAGCTACTTTTATTGTAACTAAAGACTGCGGTGGACAATATTGGACAATTTACAACTTTGTTTCTTAAAGACTGGGTCATGACCTTCAGGTGGTTCACAAGAGAGTTTCTTTGTGTCGCCTTGTCACAATGTGTGTGTAGGTCTGTGATATACATTTCTGACACAAGAGAGAGCGAGTGAGTCAGTGAATCTTTTCTGCCTGCACTGAACGAGAGTTCCTGCAGCTTAAGTTGAGAAATATTTACTTGGTTGTCCAAAAAGACTCTGACTACACTCACTACTACATATCTGTGTGAAATGTGATTTTCTGTGCTCATAAAAATGAAGACAAAACACAGAAACAGACTGAAGCTGCTCCTGATCTGCTGCTGTGTCTCCTCCTGCAGCCGGACTGAACACACTACAAAAACACACACAGACCAAACTATCTCACTAGAAATGTTCAGATGTTAAGACATGTTTTGTATCATTTCGAATCTTTTTGTAATTATTTTATTAACTATTTTGTTCCAGTATTACTGGTTCAATGTTGAAAAGAAAAAGAAATGTTCTACATTTAATGCCCAAATAGGCGACTTCTGGATCCTTTTATTTTTACTGCATTGTACTGTGTATTACTGTAGTACATTTGAGGAGACCTTATCACAGTACTTCAGTTACATCCAAAGTAACAAACAGAAGTGGGAGGGACATGTTCCAGTTTATTCCTGTAAAATTCAACACCGTATTTATCAACTGTAAAGAGAAAAGTATTTCCTAAAAACATATATATATTTTAGAAGCATCAAGTCTTCTCAAGTCACAGGCCTCAAGTCCGAGTCAAGTGACAAGTCAATGACCCTCTAGTCCAAACATGTCAAACTCAGGCCCGGGGGCCAAATTAGGCCCACAGTATAATTATATTTGGCCCACAAGATCATATCAAGTATGTATTAGAGCTGCCCGCCGGCTACAGATAGACTCTAGAGACATGATTTATTTACAATGTTGTTATTATTTTATATTCTGCTTGTTCTGGATTTGATGTTTAAGCAAAACTATTATTAAACATTTATTTTAGTAAGAAAAGGTTTAACATTACAAGTCTCGAAAGAAGAGAAAACATGCAGATGTTGTTGAAATTTTTCCATAAATATTTAGTCTGGCCCACGACTTAGTCCCAGTTTTTCATTTGACCCTCTGTGAATTTGAGTTTGACTCTCCTGATCTAGTCCAAGTGGAGTCCCATGTCTTAGTCCATTTTGTCAAGTCAAGTCTAAATCCTAAAAATAGTGACTCAAGTCTGACTCTGAGTTCAAGTCATGATTTACAAGTCCCGACCTCTGCCTTTACAAAATGAAACTTTACACAATGAAAGTAGACATGAAAAGTCACATTTTTTGTATTACAAGTTGGTTTGAAAATGAATTTTAATATACAAATGAGCTATACAACAATCAAATATGCCCAAAATACACCCCAAAGTAAGTTTTTTTGTATTACAAGTTTCTTTTGAACATAATTTGAATCTGTCTGAAGAGCTCCACTCTTACTCAATATGTCCTAATTTGCATAAACAGAAACACCATTCGTATGACAAATATATCAGCCCAGTCTTCATCCAGTAAGTCTCCTGCCAATGGGTGACGGCACTGCTGCTTTTAGACTGACCTCTATCCTGAAAACTGCCTGGCTTGGTCGGACCTGCCAGGGAAAAGCACTACTTTGGCTGGATTATACAGAGTTCATTTCTCAACCACAGTTTTAAAAGGACAAACTAGCGCTCTGCAGTTATAAAGGCTGTATTTTCCTTCTATGGGATATTAAGTACAAACAGATACATGTTTGGATCCCCATGTTCCCTTTTATTGATTTAAAAATACTGTATTTTGCCAAAAAAAAGTATGTATTAATATCTTTTATAATGTTCATTTTCGTTTCTGGGTCTCCTCTCCCTTTGCTCTCTTTGCTAAGTCACTCCCCCTTCAGAGCGCCACCACAGCAAAATCAGCGTGCATCCCATTAATGAAACTACTGCACATCGCGTCAGGTTTGTGAAGTAGTTGTGTACAGTTTTGTGTCATGTTTTTGTATATTTACAGAGAATTGTCGTGTGAATGGGAGATGTAGGCTTTGTGGGCGGAGCTTTGTACAAAATCTTACAGCTAAATGTAAGGACGGTTTGAATGGGGCCCAGGAGAGATCACTAGATTACTGAAATGTGCATGGATGACATTTAAAACTTCTTCAGGCATGTTTTTGATGAGGGAACAACATTAGAGCATGGTAGAAAGTTAAAAATCTACTTTGTAAATAAACCATAAACATAAACCAGGTCAACAAATCTGAAATCTGACAGTTACAGCAAACTCCACCTGAGAATTCTGACCTGTCCCCAGCTCAGTTTAAACTACAGAGATTAGACAAAGTTGTGTTTTTTTTTTGTTATATGAAATACCTCAGTGTACAGTTTAAGAGTTGAAATATTGTGTCCTCGTTTGTTTGGTGTAAATGGTTTTAATTGATGTGTCCAGTTTTCCTCATGATCAGTAAAGCCTCGTGGACTGGAGTGTCCTGGAGCAGCGCTTTGTTCTTCTGCCACTGGGGGGAGCTAGACAGATCCGTCTCTGGAAAACAAACAAACAGAAGAATGATGGTGTAATTAAAAGTGAAATTAACAGTCATATCCTTTCTAGAAACTGTGTGATTGTTGACCAGTTATTGTAATCAAATCAAAATCTTAATATTATCTGTTCTTTTATTTTTGTTTTGATGATTTTAAAGGTGCATGTTTGTGTGACTTTTCCGTCAAATGCTTTTCTCCATGGAGATGTTATTGCTTTGTCTGGAATGTTTCACAATATGGCATTAAAACTTTCTATCTTCACACCAGACCAACTTACAGGTCAGATCTGTGGAGAAGCGAGTCTGTTTTTCTAGGTATTATAAAACCACCTGTAACTGAATAAATGTTAAGTAGAGCTGTTTAAAGTCACACTATGAGAGATCAGAACTAGAAAGAAACCAGATTTTACTGTTTTCATGTCATTTTAATATCAAGGTATCCCCAGGTTTGACTATCACAAATTTAAGACTTTTAAGACCTTTTTAAGACCACTTAAATGAAAATTAAGACCAACATCGCACTCATTATGCATGCAAAAAATACAACATCCAATTCTAATAATGATCAACCAACTACAGAACTATATCCAGAATCTAAGGCTGCGTTTATATGATGACGGTCCTAACAGAAGACACAAAAGTGGCGTAGAGTCTTCACTTTTTATTCCGCGTTTAGACGAGCATTTTCTGCTGCATACGGTGATGCAAAAGTGTGTGGAATTGGATTGGGTATGGACAGTGTTGGGAAGGTGACTTTTAAAATGTATTCCCCTACAGATTACAGATTACATACCCCAAAATGTAGTTTGTAACGGAATCCATTAAGTTACTTAAAGTGAGTAAAGTAATCTGAATACTTTGAATTACTTGATATTGTCATGCTTTTTAAAACTACATGAATGTATCAACCACATCCTGAAAATTCTTGTTTGTTCTATTCAAATTGTCTGTTGAGCCCAAGTCTCCAGGAATAAGCAACTGTTTGCTGTAGAGAAGCAAAGAGCAGGAAATCTTAACATAAATTTTATCTGCTAAAAGAAAATCAAAAGCCCAGTCTTTCCTTAAGCATATAAAAAATATTACTGATATAGAAATGATTTCTATATGAGATCACTGCTGCCTTAAATTATGTTCACTCTACTTTTAGGTGTCATATTGTTTAGTCCTGGTTTAGTCCTGGTTTTAGACCTGGTTTTAGTCCTGGTTTTAGTCCTAGTTTAGTCTTAGTTTAGTCCTGCTTTAGTCCTGCTTTTAGACCTGGTTTAGTCCTGATTTAATCCTGGTTTAGTCTTGGTTTAGTCCTGGTTTTAGTCCTGGTTTAGCCCAAAATGTGAAAACAGGAAAATACCGCCCTTTAATCCATTTATTTCAACAAAGTAACTGTAATCCAATTACAACTCATTGAAACAGTAACTGTAACTGAATACAGTTACTTATAATTTGTACTATGATTACGTAATCCCAGTACATGTAATCCGTTACTCCCCAACACTGAGTGTGCATGCCAGGAGGTTCGGTGGTGACGTTAAGTGGTGATGTATGTGATGTAAACACGTACGCGACATGAGCAGATCTGACCAGAGTTTTGCGTCTTCAGCAGTGTAGATGGAACTGATTGTTTACTCACGTCCGCCCTCGCCAAAAAACAAAGTATTATTTGCGCATATTCCAAATTAGACGTTCATTCACGTTACTTTATTTCATGTTGTTGTTTTTTGTACCCTCCTTTTCCTTGTAACATCGCACTGCAGCCCGGTGGAGTTTACAAAAGGATAAGATAATGAAATTTAAGACCTTTGTGAAAAAAAATAAGATTTGGACAAGAGAATTTAAGACTTTTTAAGACCTTAATTTAGGAACATGAAATGTAAGACCTTTTTAAGACTTTTAAGCCCGTGCGTTTATCTAGAATCTAAGAGCCACTGTGGATTAAACCTACACTTCCCCATGATCCATCCACAGTGTTGGGGAGTAACAGATTACATGTACCGGAGTTACGTAATCAGAGTACAAATTATGAGTAACTGTATTCAGTTACAGTTACTGTTTCACTAAACCAGGACTAAATCTAGGTCTAAACCAGGACTAAAACCAGGTCCAAAATAGGTCAAAACCAGGATTAAACCAGGACTAAACCAGGATTTAACAGGACTAAATCATGCCACGTGGACCATGTTTCCTCATCTTCTATCAATAACATTTTTAATTTGGTTAAGTAAAGTCTGGACTTTTTATTCTCTTTTAGTAGACATAACATCTTATGTGAAGATTTCCGAGTCTTTGTTTCTCTACAGTAAATCAAGTAATCCAAAGTATTCAGATTACGTTACTCACTTTAAGTAATTTAATGGATTCCGTTACAAACTACATTTTGGGGTATGTAATCTGTAATCTGTAGGGGAATACATTTTAAAAGTCACCTTCCCAACACTGTCCATCCGTCTTCCTCCACTCTACTGATTGTTTCCTCATTGTTTCCAGCGCCAAAAACCAAAGTATTGTTTGCACTGAGAGCAAAGAAATATTCAAGTAAAAGTAAAAGTAGTTTTTCACATGAAAAAATCTACTTCAGTAAAAGTGTAAAAGTACCCATACTCCAAATTAGACGTTCATTCATGTTATGTGATTTCATGTTGTCGTTTTTTTCCCTCCCTCCATTTAACATTCCACTGCAGCCTGGTTGAGTAAACAAAAAAATTGACTAATGAAATTTAAGACTTTTGTGAAAAAAATTAAGACTTGGACAACATAATTTAAGACGTTTTAAGGCCTTAAATTAGGCACATGAAATTTAAGACCTTTATGAGACTTTTAAAGACCCCACAGCTGCACAGAATAAAAAAGAAAAATAAAAATCTGATAAGAATCTGATATTGAGTGTGCATGTAACTGCAGGCATCGTTTCACTATGAAAAAAAGGACTTATATTTAAATGTTGTCATTGAAAATTTATCTGTTTGAAAAAATCTAACATTTTCAATTATCCTGAACAAAAGAAAATATTTAAAGGAAGTAGCACATTTTAATAGTGGTCTAAAGGTACTCAGTGGATAGTCAGTGAAGTTAGTCTGTTCTCTGAAGAGGACACCACATCTAATCACTGTAAAACAGTAGGGATGTAACAATAAACGAAATATCGTGACATCATATCGTTAAAGTTCTCACAATAATATTATGGACCATCACAATATATCGAATTACAAGTCTCTGTGCTTAAATGAAGAGTTATGGTGCAGCAATAGCTAAAAAAAAAACCAGAGGGAACTACATAAACCATGATTCTTTGCTCCATTTCAGTGCAGACTACAGGAAGAAATAACAGTTCTAACACTTTTAAGTCTTAGTTCTTTGGATTAAGTCTTGTCAAGGTGTTTTAAGAAGAAAAAGCAGCACATTAGTCTCCACAAAATATCACAATAAATATCATACTGTGAGATGTATATCGTGAAAATATCGTACAGAGAGATTTGGAATATTGTTAAATCCCTAATCGTGAGCCTCCCCACAGTATCATGAGCTTTCCCACGACATCACAATAAATATCGTAGCGTGAGGTTCATACCGTGACGATATTGTATTGTGACACCCCTATAAAATATTAATAAAATGTCAATACAATGTGATTTTCAACATTAAATCATAGAACTTTCTTTTCTATTCCCATGTGTGTTATATGTGTGTAATCCTCAGTGGTGCAGTAGGTTCGGAGTGTCCGTGTGTGTGTTCTAGTCTATGTGCTCTTCTACTTGTTCTGATACACCTCAAGTTCATTCTAAAGACATTCAGGAAACATTCACTTCTGTCCTGTCAATGGGACTTTTTAGAATCGATACCTGCTCAAATGAGTATCTTGTTTCGATACTAGTGTACTTTTAGTATCGATTAGTATTTGATTGTCTATACCAGGGGTGTCCTGGTCCTCGGCCCTCGGCTGATTTTCTACTAAAATATTTGAATTATACTTTCTATTAAAATACTGGTTAATTTTCTGCAGTGCTTATTACAGCAGCGTTCCAGTGTCTCTGTACGTGGCCCCTCCCACCAGAGCAGCACAAATGAAGAATTGTCTCTTTCCAAACGCTCTTAAAGGACGATCGTTTTGACTGTTGACCGTGACCCCCTCATCAGAAAAATGTCCAACATGAGAAAAGTGGAGCCGAGTGCAGAATTTTCCAAGAAAAATTGACTTATTCCTATTTGAATACAAGTTAATATTAAAACATTGTGCTGAAAGTTTCAGGTTGTTCATAATATTATAATATTTTGTAAAAGAAAGAGTTCATCAATTAAAAAGATTTCTGTAATAGATTTGTGTTTCTCTGCACAAATATTTGCACTTATTGCTATTTTCGGGGTTTATATGCGATAATTTTTCCAATTTTATTTTCCCAGCCCCGTTGGGATCAAAGTAGGTTGGATACAGCCCCTGGACCAAAATGAGTTTGACACCCCTGATCTATACTTTGACAACCCTGGTTTGTCAGTACACACTCTGTAGTCTTCAGTACCTTCACACTGTACGGAGACGCGTGTGGGCAGGCTCCTGGTGTGGTCTAAATACTCGAGTGAACAGAGCAGAGCCGTGTTTGTCTGTGGCTCCGTCAGCATCAGGACCAGGAGAGAGCACAGGGCGTTAGTTTCCAACACCTCCACCGACGGGTGACGCTCCTGTGAGAAGGGAGAGAGGAAGACATGGAGAGAGAGAAGGAGGAAGGAAGGAGGAGGGATAAAGACATAATAAATGGTTACAGACAACAGAATCACAACATTTCCTGCATTTTTTTATTGAAACTGTCATGGAAAAAAATGATCTATCTGTTGAAGATAAATAATGAATCCATTTTCGAAACCCAATGAGTTTTTGGAATATAGACCAAGGTTTATTCTTGTTCCAGCAGATATGGACAGGGCCTCGGTCTGTTCCGGCCAAAACCCAACAGCCTCTCCCCACCAGCAGCATGTTCCTACTACATCTCCCAACCATTTCTCCCAGTCTCTCCCCATGTATCCACCCAGTATCTGCCCAGAGCATTTGAGCTCTGAATATTTATACAGAAATACAAGACCATACATATCAAAGTGAGAATGTGACGACTCCTACTGAGGCGTGGCCAGATGATGGTGCTTGATCTGATTTGTTCCATATTCACCTGCATTTGTCACTTCCTGACATGATTAGCAAGCAAAAGGGAACAGAGTATTTACATTGAAGGGTCTTTCTAACAAGCCAAATGAGTTTTAGGCTGCGTTCAGACTGCAGCCTGAAGTGACCCAAATCCAATTTTTTGGCTTTTATGTTCCTGTATCTGATCTTTTAATGACAGTCTGAATGACACAGATCCGATTTTTTCAAATGTGACCCAGGACACTTGGATATGTGCTCCTGAAACTGATACATATCTGATCTTTTGACATGTGACTTCAGTCTGAACGGCCAAAGTGCATTCATCCACCTACACGTTATCGACAAGACACAAACGTCAATATTCTGCGCTGAAGTAGGCGAAAATTGTTAATGAACTCAGTGTCACTGAAGTGAAGCACATCACCACTCACCACTCTTGGCTCCGTCTGCACATCCACATGTTCCTTTCAATGGACGTCGCTGCCGCTGTCCCACAAAACACCACGACCAAAAACCTCGTCCTTCTCCTTCTCAATCTCCTCTTTAAAACAAGTAAGTTGTTCATGTTCTGGCTCCGGTACGAGAGGAACTTTAAAATCTCCAGGTGCTCAATGCTGCGTCCATGTTTGGACAACTTCCATAAACACAGAGCACGCTCGCTGTGGTTGACATTATCGTGTCTCCAGTGTCACATGCGGGACACTTTCGGGCCGTTTACTGTTCACACTGGAGTCACATACAAGTCACATTTAATTGGAAATGTGAACGACCTCGCAAAAACATCGGATTTCACAAAAAAACTGGAATTGAGCGTTAAGCCCTGCAGACTGAACGTAGCCTCAGTTACAAGACCAAATGTGTAAGATAAACTAATCACTATTTTAATGTAATCAATCATAATCAGTATTTTCCTGTGGGGGTCTGGTCTCAGGTACAAATCACATTCATTTACACAAAGACAGAATGAGAGAAATCTTTCCTCAATCTAAATTTCTATCACAAAACTGAGTAAAAGCTTTTGTCCAGTTGTCAGAAATGTGTTGTTTTTTGCAATTTATACTTTTCTGTGACGTCACGCTGGGGATAGTGTGGCTGCATGTATCTCTATGGTGAAATGTTCAGCAGTTACCAATGTTTTAAGAGCACAAATAAGATCACCTGTTCAGTTATTTCTGTTCAAATAAAGCTCAGATTAAAGTCTAACGTAAGTCATAGACAGTGTTGGGGAGTAACAGATTACATGTACCGCCGTTACGTAATCAGAGTACAAATTATGAATAACTGTATTCAGTTACAGTTACTGTTTCAATGAGTGGTAATTGGATTACAGTTACTTTGCTGAAATAAGTGGATTACAAGGCGGTATTTTCCTGTTTTCACATTTTGTGCTACATCCCATTTATTTATTTTTTTATTTCAGTAATTCCACTCATTGCCCGAAACCCACACAGAACGCGGCAGTAAGAGCGATGTAAACGTCACGTTAACGTTACCCTAACAAATATAAAATCACCTACAACTTAAATGTCAAACCGGAGCTACTGGCACTGGTGAAAACAACCTGCATAGGCTCATGATGTGTGCACTACTGTGACATAGTGACCTGCCACATGAGGGGACACGCACACAAACACAAACACACACAAACACACACAAACACAAACACACACCTTCATCATCGTCATCAACCTGAGAACGAGCAGATCATGTCTCCTTCCGTAGTTACTGCGCGGACATCGCTGTCCTCACGTGAGCCGCGTGTGGATCGTGTTTCCTCACGTACGCTGCGTAAACCGCGTTTCCTCCTGTGCACCTCTAAACCAGAACTAACACCAGGACTAAAACCAGGACTAAACCAGTCCAAGACTAAACCAGGACTGAACCAGGTCTGAACCAGGTCTAAACCAGGGCTAAATCAGGTCTAAACTATAGGACTAAACCAGGTCTATACCAGGACTAAACCAGGACTAAACCAGGACTAAACCAGGTCTAAAATAAGGACTAAACCAGGACTAAACCAGGACTAAACCAGAACTTAACCAGGTCTAAAATCAGGACTAAACCAGGACTAAAACCAGGACTAAACCAGGTCTAAACAATATGACACTTAACAGTAGGTTGGACATAATTTTAACATTTTACAATTTGGACATAAAGGTTATCTCATATAAAAATAATTTCTCTATTAATAATATTTTTTATATGGTTAAGGAAAGACTGTCTTTTATGAGACAAAACATTTTATGTTAACATCCTAGTTCTAATCCTAACAGATCCTGGTCTTTGCTTCTCTACAGCAAACAGTTGCTTATTCATGGAGACTTTGGGTTAACAGACAATTTGAAGAGAACAAACAAGAATTTTCAGGATGTGGTCGCTACATTCATGTCGTTTTAAAAAGCATGACAATATCAAGTAATCCAAAGTATTCAGATTACGTTACTCACTTTAAGTAATTTAATGGATTACGTTACAAACTACATTTTGGGGTATGTAATCTGTAATCTGTAGGGGATTACATTTTAAAAGTAACCTTCCCAACACTGGTCACAGAGTTTCGGATTGAGTTGTACCTTCAGTTAATGTTGATGATATCAGCTGCAAAGTATCAATGAATAACATGTTATCCTTTTCTGGATAAGTGATTATCAGTTGTTTTGAAGAAGCCCCACCTTCACGAGTTTGACTTGTTGCTTGCGTGCGGCGAAAGCGTTGAGATGGAGGCTCAGAGTGTCCAAAAAGCCTCGGATGTTTTTCTGCACGTTCGTCTCTTCAGCCAGAGCCTTCACAGGGATAAACGGAGGGATGTTGTGTCGTATAATTCTCAGGGGTTGGCTCACGCTTATTTCAATGTTATAAGTGTCCAGAATGGCGCCCTGATACGCGGTGGCCAGAGAGAAACACAGGGATTTGTCCTGGTTAGTCTTGATAGCGTCATAACCTCCTAAAATGGAAAGAAACATGAATGAAACTGAAAAATTTATAAATCTCTTGGTGTTGTAAGAAAAGTTTGCAAAATTCTGGACTCAAAATCTAGACTTACATTATACTATAGTTGAATTTATCGTGTCTGTCATATTGTAATATAGTCTGGGCTGCACTTTCTCAATTACTCTGAACAAGATATTATTAGTGCAAAAACGTTTTGTTGGAAATGCAACTCACTCCATGCCACTCACATCGTCTGCTCATTTATTCATCAAACTGAACATTCTTAATATTTACTGTATGATATTAGTATTCATCACATTTGTATTTTATGTAAAGAATTCTTTATAATATAACTACAATCCCTAATCATTTCACATTTACTTTAAAACCAATGCACAGATTGACAGACACAATACTCATCAAAATCATCATTTTCATGTTCCAAAATGTCAAGAGCTCAGAGGCTGTAAATTCTGGATCCAGTTTTCACATTTGGCTCGTGATCCCAGATCAGAAGCCTAAACAGAGTTTGAGGAAATGTTTGATATTTCATGATAATGTTTGATAATCATTCAGTTGTGGATGTTTCATTGTGTTTTAATCCATGTTTGAATCAAATGTATTTAATCTAAGATGTGTAAATGTTTTTTTTTTTATTAATTCACACCTATAATGTTCAATTTGAATGTATTCATAAGGTGGAGACTTTAATATCAGCCCTTTTGGATTTTTGCCTTTTCCGGCACCTACTTTTTTTATCCAGGGTGCTTTTTTATTGTTATATGTTATATATGTGTAAATTAAATTAAATTAAATAAAAAATTAAATACATTTTTTTAGATTTATTTATTTCATTCATAAAGTATAAAAAGACATCGAGAGTGTCACAACATCAGACATACAAGAAATGAATGAAAAGGAGCAGAAAGAAGAGAAATCTTATGTTATCTGCCCCCCCCCCCCCCTTCCCCCCAAATTATGCTTTGTAGTACTATTTATGCAGAAAAATGTACCAAAGAGTGTATTTATATAAAGACAGATTATACCTGTTTAATCTGACTTTTACAGATAAATACCAAAAAATACCAAATCTTCACCTTACTCACTTACTTCTACTTTCCGTTGTTGTCTCAAAGAAATCCTTAAAATCTAAATAAAGTGATTACTCGAGTAATTTTAGTTCACTAACATGGACACTGACTGCTTAAATGACTAAATGAATACAGCCCTAGTGGAGAGAATCAGAGGAACAGAGGAGATGATCAGAGGAGCAGAGGAACAAAGGAGAGGGTCACAGTTTTTTGACTTATTAAACATTACCCATGAGGTGATGAGCCAACAGCACGTCCTTGAGTTGAGTTTGTTTCGCCATCAGAATCAGGAGTTTTGTGTTTTCTGAATCATCGTCCATTTCCACGTCTTCATTATTGTCCAAAGATGTTCTCAGCTTTTGGAGATTCTGGTTGTAATATAAAAATGCATATGGGTCTGGTCAAGTGGTAACGGAGGGAAACAGGGGCAGATTTTTGACATTCAAATGTCTCTTATTCAGAAACTAGAGGGACTATTGAAATAAGTAAAGTATCTGAATGTAGGAAAGAGTTACACTCCAACAGGGTCAAGTTAAACCTGTGATATTCTTTCAAGTTGTTGACAAAAAATTTAAAAAACTCGGTAACGGAGGGAATGAAATATGCAGCACTTTTTGGGCAATAAATCCAAACAGTGATAACTCTTGGTTCTCACTTCCATATCCTTAACAAACTGGTTTGAATATTTGCTTCATATAGTTTTACACCATATGGTACAAGATTAGGTTGAAAAACCTCTCACTTTTTTGACTCATGAGATTTTTTATTAAGAAAGATCATGGTAACAGAGGGAAAAGTAACGGAGGGAAAATTGTGCAAACAAGTAGAAGGTGCAGGATTTTACATCATTTGTCAACTTTTTTCTTCCAAATACTTTAATATTACTTCAAAATGAAAGGAAACTATTTCTATAAAATATGTCAGTAATTCCAAGCAAATTTTTATCATTTTAAATAATAATAATAATAAAAAAAAATCCTGTACCTTCATCAACAGTTCAAAGATGGAATAACACAAGATATGATGAAATACAAACATTTATTTACATGATTTGCAGGTCTTTGAAATTTGGGAAATAATTTGTAACATGTTTCATACATTGTCTGTTTAAAACATATGGAACTTTAGAACCAAAAATGGTACAGAAAAAAGGTCAACAGTTTCATAAACTAGAGTACATATGTATCTGTTCAATACATTTTTATATCAGATGCATTAACTTGAATTTTTGGCCTTGTTGTTTACTTCTGCTTGACCGGGCCCATTTACCACGGGATGAATAAAGATGATTTTTGGTTTATTAAAGAATGATGGGGTTAATGTAGAGAGGGTTTAAACTCTGATTATCTGGACTCTGTCTTCTAAATCCCCTTCCAGAAGCCATTTTATATTTGATGGATGAATGGATTGCAGCGTATAAGATGGACATTCCAAAACATGTGCTACAATTTTGGAAACCTACAATATTACTGACTAGCCCAGTGTGATTTCAATAAAGAACAGGGGTGGGACGAGACAGAATTCTCACAAGAGGAGACTAGACATGAGTTAAGGTCCACGAAATCGAGACAAGGCAAGATTTTGATATAAATTATGATAATTACTATAAATAAATTGTGATGTTCAGTTCACAGTTTTGGCCTTTACATTTTTTTTTATTCTATTGTGCACTTTTGAGGTCATTTTTGCATCGCTTTTTGGAACTACGGCTTCCCAATATGTTAACTCAAAAATGTTTAACCCTTTTTTATCTGATCCAAATGTAAACACATGGGGAAAAAATCTCACGAGATCATGTTTTGCATGTGTGAACACTCTTGTGGGAAATTGGTCTCGTGAGATCTTGTGGTAAAAGATCTTGTCCCTTCCCTAATAAAGAATGATTAAAATGCTGCATAAATTATCCTATTTTATGTGCAGTAGGAGCGGATATTGTTCTGAGTTATTCATATTTGCGTTTCGTTATATATGTTTAGGATTATTTAAGATCTTCTGTTCTCCTCTCAAACTCCAGCAGTGTATCGATGTGTTGTTGATCACTTAAATAAATCAAAATTTAGGAGGAACAGACCATTTCATATAAGCCTTTAACTACTTAATCCAAGATACTTTTTTTGTTTGTACACTTCTTTGCAGTTTACTGTTAATGAAAGTGCTTGTTACCTTGTGCACGTCTATCTCGGCTCTCAGTCTGTCTCTCTCCTTCTTCAGCTCCTCCACTTTAGTCTTCAGCTCCTGCTCTCGACTCTGTGGCTGTGCTCCGGTTTTCTTTTGTTTCGACTGGGCCTCCAGGAAACTCAAATGACCCAAAACTCCTACAAATACAAAGAACATGATCAACCATCTCCGTCATATTAGGTCAGTGTTTCTGAAACAGTGGTACAGATGGTGGCGCTACTGTTCTAGACATTATTCATATTTAAGTCTTTGGGACAGCCCTCAGTACACATTTACATGACCAGTAAAAGTCAGATCAGAATCAGAAATCTGCTCAGGTCCAGGTTATCAGCAGTATAAAAGATAAGATAACTAGAACAACCAGATTCAGATAACCCAATAATTACATTTGATTTTTGGTGTGTGTTTACAGCACAAGAGAAACCTTTCAATCATTAAAAAACTGGTACCTTGCCTTTTCACAATACTTAGTCTTTCTCTTCTTAGTCAAACCCTGTACAGGTGTGAACAATCACAAAGAAATCAAAATACTCACATCAGATGCGATGTTTATATAATGTGATAAATCCAGAAATCAGATAATGATAAGATTGTGGGTGTGGATGTAAAACGTAGTCAGTGTTACTTTTAGAGGGTTTAGACTTGATCCACAAGGGAATGACGAGCCCAACAGTAATAAACAGTTACATTTACCAAATGTATTAGTATGTTTCTATATTTACCAATGAAGGATCTGGTTTAGGCCTGATATAGACTTGATTGTGATACTTAGAAAATTAAATATAGCATTCATATTATTTGGTTATTATAGGGTGACCAAATTTTCAAAATTCAACACCTGTGTTGGGATGTTTGGTAGAAATGAAAATGTGAAAAGAGCGTTTAAGATAGTCCATTCTTATGTAGGGGTGTGCAAAACTATTGAAAGATCGATATATATCGTATTGTTTAATTTGATATTACAGTATTGATATTGTGGGCTGCTGTATCAATATATATAGAGTATTTTGAGGTATATTTTACAAAATTATTTTGTGTAAACGCTACAATTGTTTTGACATTTTCACTGTTTTGAGTAAAATTGGTGTTTTTTATTACTTTGCACAGACTTAGTGGACTTACTGTCAGCAGAGCAGTGATATAGAATGTGATGTCATCACATTCTATATCACCATAGCAACAAGTAAACTCTTATTTGATGCGGCCCCTTTGTATGTAATGTAATGTAATGTGGGTAACCATGGCAACAGAATGTTTGTTCAGAATGTTCCGTGGCTTTGATGATATAGCTGATAAAACTTTGACTCTTTGTGTCTGTGGGTAACAGCGGTTGTAGGTTTAGACATATCAGGGCGTAGAAGACCAACTGTGTGACACAAGTGAGTTTGCAAGTGAGCCGCAAGCAAGCAGGCAAGTTCGTTTGTACCTTTATTAACATACGTCATAGAACTTCTACATCTACAGTGTTTTACAGGAAGCAAATGGGTAGCAAACCTGATAACAACTGTGAGGTGGAGGAGCAGTGGAACCCTGTGCTGAGTCGCAAACAGCGACGAAAGCAAAGGAGAGCCTTCCTCCAAGAGGAAAAGGATCAAACTATCAATGACAATGTTCTGCAGGTCTCCCAGGAAGATCTGCTGAAAAAAATACAGATGTTGAGAGCTCAATTAAGAGAGAAAGAGGAGGAAAATGAAAAAGGAGAGAGCTCTCTATCAGGAACTATATGAATGCAAGTGTCTCTATGCAGAAAATCTAGAGAAACAAATATACCTTCTGAGAAGGGAGAAGTGCACTGCATTTGACAAACAAATGAAAGACATCAGGGCAGAGGTAAAGGATGTGCACCAGCGACAGACCACTGCCAACTCTTTACTTCGAGGGCAACTTAGTCAAGTCAAGTTGCAGGAGAAAGAGCTAAAGGACCAGATCGCCACTCTCACCCAGCACCTGGAAAAGGAGCAGGTGGAGAAGCAGGACCTGATGTGTCTTGTGGCAGAACTGCAGTCCTCCCTCAAGGAAAAGGACATTCTGGCCCAGGCCAAACTTCAAACCCTACTGGATGAGAAGGTGAGCCTGGAGTCAACTGTGGCAGAAGTTGTGACAGAAGCTGTATGTGTTGTTGAAGTTCTCCATGGCAGAGAGAAAGAGCAGAGCCAAATAATTCAAGAGGAGAAGGCAAAGTCACAAGCCTTAAATCAGACTCTCGAAACAGAGAGAAGAACTTTTAGGGCTGTGATTGAGCTGTGCGACGCTGCTTATGTTTCCCTTCTGCATCTTAAAGACCAGCTCGCCCAGGAACTAAACAGCTCCAAGCAGGAGATGGAGCAGCTGAAGGTGCAGCACCAGGATGAGCTCAGTGCTCTACAGAGGGAGAAGGTTAGGGATAAGGTTAGGGCTAGTGTTCTGGAGAACAAGATGGCCCTGTTGCAGGACAAGATCTGGGAGCTTTCTCAGGCTCTGATCTCTTCAGAACAGACTAACGCTGCTCTGAAGAGACAGAAGCAGGAGCTCCAGGACATTGTTATGAGGTTATTATGAGGTTAATAGTTATTATGAGGAATGCAGAGAGAACCCGGTTCTTCTGTCGCACTTAGACCACCTGGAGAATTGAATGTACTTTGAGAACTAAAAAGTTGTCATCGTCCATTCAATTGAATTGAAAATGGTTTGAAGGAACAATTAGCTGACGTATGAATTCTTAAATTTGTATTGGAACTAAGGCTAAATGTTTTCCATTCTTACCTTTTCATTAATGTTTATTAGGCCTGAGCCCCGACAGGGCGTAGGGCCTATTGCTTCCGCTACGTGGAGCGAATGGGGAGCGACGTGCGCATGTCCGAATGCCACAACACGACATGCAACTATGTCCTCAGTCGCCCCCGGCACGAACAGCAGTATCCCAGTAACCCACGCCCAAGGCCTGAGCCATATTTACTACTGCTAAAATGAATGGAAGTCAATGGAAGGCGATGGGTGACCTCGACGAGATGGCGAATGACGAGCGCGTCAGTGCTTGTAATGTAGCCAGTCCATTACTTGGGCCTAGGGCTAATTAAAGGGTAAAATAATGAGAAACTGAAACAAAGTTTTAGAAAGGTTTATTGGAATAATTGAGTATGTGCAGATTGAAGTTACCTGTAAAAGAAAAGGAAATAAGTAAAAGTAAAAGTGCATTTAAATCAAAGTAATTGTGTTAAAGTGATTGTACCAAAAGAGTCCCCGGGGAGCCAGAGCACCTTAAGAAGGTTCCGGGGCAGCCAACCATGTTGTTTGGAGGAGGGAGCACAATTTTTTAACTTGTTCTATTTAGTATTTTAAAACATTAAACACTGCTAATTTAAATAAAGAGATATACATTTTTGTAATTGATGTAATTGGATATTGTTTGGGCACTGTTTTGATAGTTAGCTTTTAGATATTAAATGTACAAATTATTGGAGCTTACCTGATCGTTAAAGTGGGCTCACCCAATTAGGACAGGGCCTTTAAAAGAAGCCAGCCTCACCTTGTTCAGGGAGAGGTGCTGTGTGAGCGCAGGTAACTGTTAGAGAATTCTATGATATAAATGTATTTCTTTGATTAAAGTCTCATTAAAGTGTTACTCATTTATATATGTAATTCTTTCACTAAAGTATTAATCATTTAAAGGGTGAATCATTTAAATATTAATCACGGTGTAATCAACATTGCTTTGGGTCTGTTTTGGTTCAGGAAGTACAGGACATGATACCAGCAGCAGATATGAATGACATGTCAACTGACAGATTAAGCTAATCTACTATGGGCGCCAACAATTCTGGGTTTGTCCCATCTTATGTTAAAACTGAAGGCCTTGGGGAACTACTAAATTGTCTATATTTGGGATGTGTAATCAAATGTGAAATGGGAGGGTGGTTCAGTTGACGATTGTTAGTTATAAGATAACATGTGAAATGTATGTCATCAAGTATGCTTATCTGTGACATGATTTTCAATAAAAGTGTGACTTGGAGAGTTGTTGAGCAGAGTCGGTCAGGGAGCTGACAGACAGTGTGCTCGACTCTCCTTGCGCAAGTATAAATTTTAACCGTCTCTTTCTGGTGTGTCTTTATTTAATGTAATTTGATGTCTTAGGGTAAATTCCCTGACAGTAACTGCTATGCCTGTTTTTAACCTTTTTGGGAATTTTTGTAAATATTTTTTCTATTTTTGTCTTTAATAAATGCACTGGGATCTACACTGTAAACTGGCTCAACTTGACTCTGTTCCTTCTAAAACCGCTAAGGTTGCCACCAGGCTATTACAGTGCCCGTCACTCACCAATGACCCCACGTGGGGAAGGTTGAGAGCTTTCAAAAAATGTATAATATGTTGTTCTAATGTTTTCGGATATATTGTTTTTGCTCGAATTATTATTATTATCATTTTATTTTTATTATTATTAGGCCCGAGCCCCAACAGGGCATAGGGCCTATTGCTTCCGCTAAGCGGATCGAATGGGAAGCGACGTGCACATGGCCGAATGTAACAAGACGACATGCAACATTGTCCTCGGTCGCCCCCGGCACGAACAGCAGTATCCCAGTACCCAAGGCCTGAGCCATATTTACTACTGCTAAAATGAATGGAAGTCAATGGGAGGTCAGGGGGTGACCCCAGCGACATGGTGCAGACGCGCCCGTCACTCACCAATGACCCCACGGTGATGTGGGGAAGGTCGAGAGCTTTCAAAAATGTATAATATGTTCTAATATTTTTGGATATATTGTTTTTGCTCGAATTATTATTATTTTTATTATTCTTCTGCTCTTTAAACTCTAATTTGACCCCCTAAACACATTCAAAAACTCACCAAACTTGGCCCAAAATTCAGAAGTGGTGAAAAATTCGATAAAATATAGGTTGCGTTCACAGGCATTAAAAAATGCAGATACAGCGCCACCTCGAAAAGTCAAAATACATTGCGCCTATGGGAGACGTCCCAACGTCAACTTTGTCATAGAGCCACGAAATTCGGTACAAACATTCATCATGTGAAAACAAAAAAAAATGTTTATGATGGCCACGCCCCCTGACAAACCAGAAGGCGGCCATCTTGGATTGGACTGAAGTTTGAGTCCGCATTTTTGTTGACGTTGCGTTTGAACGCACTCCTCTG